CCTGCCTCAGCCTCCCAAGTAGCTGGGACCACAGGCGCCTGCCACAACGCCCAGCTATTTTTTGGTTGCAGTCGCCATTGTTGTTTGGCGGGCCCAGGCTGGATTCGAACCCACCACCTTAGGTGTATGTGGCTGGCGCCTTAGTCACTTGAGCCACAGGCGCCAAGCCACTAGTGATATATTTTTTAACATTTCAACTGGGATTTATTTTTATTCATTTATTATTTTTTGGAGACAGAATCTCACTTTGTCTTCCTGGGTAGAGTGTCATAGCGTCATATATCACAGCAACCTCAAACTCCTGGACTCAAGCAATCCTCTTGCCTCAGCCTCCCAAATAGCTGGGATTACAGGCACCCACCACAATGCACAACTAGTTTTTAGAGACAGGGTCTCACTCTTGCTCAGGCTGTGATTTTTTTTGCCTTAGATGGAGTCTTGTTCTGTTGCCTTCATTAGAGTGCATTATAACTCACTACAACCTTAAACTCCTTGGCTCAAGGAATCCTTCTGGTTTAGCCACCTGAGTAGCTAAGACCACAGGCTACAAAAGGAGTGGGAGAGGCGGGACATCTGACTATGTTGCTCAGGCTGGTCTTGAATTCCTGACCTCAAGCAATCCATCTTGGCCTCCCAAAGTGATACAGTTACAGGTGTGAGTCACCGTACCTGGTCGGGAAATTTAAAATTACACTTGTGGGGCCAAGTGAGGTGGCTCATACCTGTAATCCCAGCACTTGGGAGGCCAAGGTGGGTGGATTGCCTGACTTCACAGGTCTGAGACCAGCCTGAGCCAGAGCAAGACTCCATCTCTAAAAAATAGCCAGGCATGGTGGTGGGCGCCTGTAGTCCCAGCTATTTCAGAGACTGAGACAAGAGAATCACTTAACCCCAAGAGTTTGAGGTTGCTGTGAGCTATGAGGCAAGGGTGACAAAGTGAGACTTTGTCTCAAAAAAAAAATTACATTTGTGTTTCACATTATATTTATATAGGACATCACTAATCTAGACTACATGTTATTGCCCTGACGTTGATTTTCTCAGAGCACAGTGGGATTTGGAGCATTGTAATTTATGATCCAATTTCTACTAAGTCCTGAACCTTAGGCAAGTCATATCACCCTCTGAGTCTGTTTCCTCATCTGTGAAATGGGAGAGGGGTATATCAGTACATCATAAAGTTTGGGGGAGAGGTGAAATAATAGGGCAGCGCCTGTGGCTCAAAGGAGTAGGGCACTGGCCCCATATTCTGGAGGTGGCAGGTTCAAACCTGGCCCTGGCCAAAAAAAAAAAAAAAAAAAAAAAGAAGAAATGAAGTAATACACCTGTAGTACTTAGCACTGGGCTGAGCAAATAGGAAGTAGTCCATATGGGTTAGCTGCCACCTTGAGTATAACTATTGCTAGGTGAGTGCTTCTTCCCTCTATAAATGGGGATGGTCCCTCCCCAGCTTCCCTTAGAAAATGTCAAAGCAGGCTCAGCACTAGTAGCTCAGTGGTTAGGAAGTGGGCCACATATGGGCAGGGTCTGGGGGGGGGTTTAGCAGGTTTGAACCGGCTGGGACCTGCTAAACAATGACAACTACAACAAAAAAAATAGCTGAGCATTGTGGTGGGCGCCAGTAGTCCCAGCTACTTGGGAGGCTGAGGCAAGAGAATCGCTTAAGCCCAAGAGTTTGAGGTTGCTGTGAGCTGTGGCCCTTACTGAGGGCAACATAGTTAGACTCTGCCTCAAAAAAAAAAAAAAGCTAAAAAGAAAGAAAATGTCAAAGGAGTTGACTTGCAGAATTATCATCTTCAGAGTCCACTAGCCACTGCCCTCTCCCAGGGCAAATGAGAATCTCAGAAAGGCAGAGGGCTCTGAGGCTCAGAGAGGATGAAGTCCAAGGTCACACAGCCCGCTGGAAGCGAGGCTAGTGGCAGATGACTCAAAACAGAACTGTGCTTCTGACCTTGAGGTCAGCTATTTTACCTCTTCAGTCAACCAGATGACAGAGGGCGAACCAGGGTGGAGGTGGGAAGTGAGTACCTTGCAGCCTTTGAGCTCAAGGGCCACACTCAAGATGGCCACGTTTTGAGCCCTGCACTGCGCTGGTTTCACTCAAGATGGCAGCACAGCTCCGGGTTCCGGTTCCGGTTGCTCACGCTGCCGCAGGGGACAAGACAAGCGTGAAGGGAAATAGCCATGGCGGATGGTCCTGTGGCTGAACAGCTGCTGCGGCGGCTGGAGGTGGCTGATGGCGGCCTGGATAGTGCGGAGCTGGCAGCCGAGCTCGGCGTGGAGCACCAAGCGGTGGTGGGCGCTCTGAAGAGTCTACAGGCGCTGGGTGAGGTGAGCCGGGCCCCTGTTGCCGGCCCCTCGCTTTTGCACCTATAGTCCCCTTGCCGCAAGAGCCATAACTTCCAGGCCAGACTTGCACAGCTTGACTAGGGGTATTGTAGTAGGTATATGTGTCCACGCCGGAATACTTGAGAGTCTGGAACGAGCGAGTGTTGGGACGCCTCGCTAAACATCCGTTGAGGCGGGATCAGCGTGAGGACGACAGTACTATGATGGTTAAGGAAGGTGCTGCCTTCACGGAGGTTGTGATCTAATAGGGAGGTGTTGGAAGTGACCAGAGTAATGGGAGAAGCACAGGGAACCCAGCAGTGGCAGATGCCCCAGCCTTGGGAGTAAGGGAGAGCAGCCTGGTAGAATTAACCGCTGAGTCAGGTCTCTGCACTGTGGAGGAAAGCAATGGCACTTAAGGAATCAGTGGATGGAAGTTTAGGGAGATGACAGGTGGTGAAAAAGACCAGCACACCCAGAACTGCAGGGCCTCCTAGGTCATAGTCACCAGTCTACTGGGAGCCATGTCAGGAGCCAGAGCTGGTCAGATGTGCTATCTACATCACCTTTGGAAGAATGGCAGGGGGAAGACTGGAATCCATTGGATGAGAGCAGAGGCTGACACATTCACAAGCTAGAGGCATAATGTCTGACAGTGGGGAGGCAGCTAGAATGGGGAGTGAGGACTACCTGGAGATTCCAGACAAGGCCAGGGGAACAAGGATGGAACCTGGCTTTCCAATTTGGGCAAATGGACGCCTCTTGGCGTCACAGGAGGGAGATGCTGAGGGGCCAGTGGGTCACCCAGGTTGAGGTTTGTCCATGAGGCTGGGATCTGGGCTATTTATTCATCCAGCTCGTGTTCTGTGTACCACTGTGGTCTCAGCTTATCCAATCTTTGCCATAGTCCTAGGCTGATGGCACTGTTACCCTAGCTTGCAGATGTGACAACTGATGTTCAGCATTGGTCAGTAACTTTTTCTTTTCTTTTTCTTTCTTTCTTTTTTTTTTTTTTGAGATAGATTCTCAACCTGTTGCCCTGGGTAGAGTGCCATAGTGTCATAACTCACAGCAACCTTCAACTTTTGGGCTCAAGCAAGCCTCTTGCCTCAGTTTTTCTATTTTCAGTAGAGACAGGGTCTCCCTTTTGCTCAGGCTGGTCTCAAACTCATGAGCTCAAGCTATCCACCTGCCTTAGCCTCCCAGAGTACTAGGATTACAGGCATAAGCCACCGTGCCCAGCCTGGTCAGTAACTTAATTAGTCACTAGAAGGGGCTGGCAAATCCAGATTTGAAATTAGGGCACTCAGGGTGCAGAGCCCAGGGTCCTCAATGCAGAGAGATTGCAGCTTTAGTGTGTGGGGTGACAGTATCTTTTTCTTTTTTTTTTTTTTTTCGAGACAGAGCCTCAAGCTATTCCCCTGGGTAGAGTGCTGTGGCATCACAGCTCAGCTCACAGCAACCTCCAACTCCTGGGCTCAAGCGAGTCTCCTGCCTCTGCCTCCCAAGTAGCTGGGACCACAGGCGCCCGCCACAACGCCCGGCTATTTTTTGGGTTGCAGCAGCCATCATTGTTTGGCGGGCCCAGGCTGGATTGGAACCTGCCACCTTAGGTGTATGTGGCTGGCGCCTTAGCCACTTGAACCACAGGCGCCGAGCTGGGTGACAGTATCTTAATGATCATGAAATTGCCATTTGTGTAGGTCACTGAGGGTTAAATAATGACAATTTAGGGCAGTGCCTGTGGCTCAAAGGAGTAGGGCACTGGCCCCATATGCTGGAGGGTGGCGGATTCAAACCCAACCCTGGCCAAAAACTGCCCCCGCCCTCCCCAAAAGAGACAATTTAATGTGGCTAAACCTAATGATGATACTGACAATAATAGCAACAATAATATATTAGTAGTTAGAATTCATGAAGCACTTGTTACATGTTAAGAATTCTACATTTGGGGTGGTGCCTGTGGCTCAAAAGGGTAGGGTGCTGTTCCCTTATGCTGGCGGTGGCGGGTTCAAACCCAGCCCCGGCCCAAAAAAAAAGAATTCTACATTTGGGCGATGCCTGTGGCTCACTGAGTAGGGCGTCAGCCCCATATACCGAGGGTGGTGGGTTCAAACCTGGCCCCAGCCAAACTGCAACAAAAAAAATAGCCAGGCACTATGGCGGGCACCTGTAGTCCCAGCTACTCAGGAGGCTGAGGCAAAAGAATCACCTAAGCCCAGGAGTTGGAGGTTGCTGTGAGCTGTGTGATGCAATGGTACTCTACTAAGGGCAATAAAGTGAGACTGTCTTCCCCCCCCCCCCGAAAGAATTCTACATTCAGGGCCAGGCAGGGTGGCTCACGCCTATAATCCTACCACTCTGGGAGGCTGAGTCTGGTAGATTGCCTGAGCTCACAGGTTCAAGACCAGCCTGAGCCAAAGCAAGAGCTGGCCTCTAAAAATATCTGGGCATTGTGGCAGGTGCCTGTAGTCCCCGGGAGGCTGAGGCAAGAGAATCCTTTGAGCCCAAGAGTTTGAGGTTGCTATGAGCTATGATGCCACAGCACTCTACTGAGGATGACAAAAGTGAGACTCTGTCTCAAAAACAAACCAAAAAAAGAGTTCTGCATTCAGGCCGGTTGCAATGGCTCACGCCTATAACCCTAGCACGCTGGGAGGCTGAGGCAGGTGGATTGCTTGAGCTCAGGAGTTCAAGACCAACTTGAGCAAGAGCAAGACCCCATCTCTAAAATTAGCCAGGTATTGTGGTGGGTACCTGTAGCTCCAGCTACTCAGGAGGCTGTGGCAGGAGGATTTCTTTTTTTTTTTTTTTTGAGACAGAGCCTCAAGCTGTCCCCCTTGGGCAGAGTGCCGTGGCATTACAGCTCACAGCAACCTCCAACTCCTGGGCTCAAGCGAGTCTCCTGCCTCCGCCTCCCAAGTAGCTGGGACCACAGGCGCCCGCCACAACGCCCGGCTATTTTTTGGTTGCAGCCGTCATTGTTGTTTGGCGGGTCCGGGCCGGGGATTCGAACCCGCCACCTTAGGTGTACGTGGCTGGCGCCTTAGCCGGTTGAGCTATAGGCGCCGAGCCGAGGAGGATTTCTTGAGTCTAAGAGTTTGAGGTTGCTGTGAGCTATGATGCCATGGTACTCTTACCCAGGGTGACAGAGTGAGACTCTGTCTCAAAAACAAAAGAACATTCAGCCTGAGCAAGAGCAAGACACCATCTCTAGCAAAAAATAGAAAAATTAACTGTAGTCCCAGCTACTGAGGAGACTAAGGCAGGAGGATTGCTGAAGCCCAGGAGTGTGAGGTTGCAATGAACTGTGGTGATACCACTGCATTCTAGGCTGGGCAACAGAGTGAGACTCTATCTCCCCAAAAAGAAAAAGAAATTACATTCTTTCCACGTATTAATTGAATTACTTTTTGAAACCCTCTGATGTAGAGCCATCACACATTTCTCTTATAGATAAAAAAAGTTGCTCAAGGCTTGATGCCTGTAGCTCAATGGCTAAGGCACCAACCACATACACCAGAGCTGGCAGGTTCAAATCCAGCCTGGGCCTGCCAAACAATGACAACTACAACCAAAAAAAAAATAGCTGAGTGTTGTGGCCGGTGCCTGTAGTCCCAGCTACTTGGGCGGCTGAGGCAAGAGCATCGCTTAAGCCCAAGAGTTTGAGTTTGCTGTGAGCTGTGATGCCATGGCACTCTATATAGGGTGACATAGTGAGACTCTGTCTCAAAAAAAGTCGCTCAGAGGTGTTAAGCAACTTCCCTGAGGACAGACAGTGAGTTAGGAGCTGAGCAAGGATTAGAGGGAACTAGAAACTGTGGGCCCCTCCTAGCCAATTCCTGTCTGTGTGACCCTAGACCTGTCCTTATCCTTTGATCCTCACATTTTGGTTTGTAATATGGGCTTCCAAGGCCCCCCACGTCTAGCTGGGCCTTACATTTCTCTGCAGGTCATCGAAGCTGAACTTCGCTCCACCAAACGCTGGGAGCTTACTGCCGAGGGCGAGGAGATTGCACGGGAGGGCAGCCACGAGGCCCGTGTGTTTCGCAGCATCCCCCCAGAGGGCCTGGCTCAAAGCGAGCTCATGGTAGGGATATGAGGAGCAGCAAATAGGGTGAAGGGGGCTCTCATGCCCTACTCACAGCAACCTCTCTCCTCCAGAGACTGCCCAATGGCAAAGTGGGCTTCAGCAAGGCCATGTCCAACAAGTGGATCCATGTGGACAAGAGTGCAGCCAATGGGCCCCGGGTGTTCCGAGTGGTGAGTCCCTGCAGATGGGTGGGCACATGGATGGTCAGATAGAGCCCCTGGTCCTGACACCCTTACCATGGCAGGTCGATAACATGGAGGACGAGGTGCAGCGGCGCCTCCAGCTGGTCCAGGGGGGACAGGCTGAGAAACTGGGTGAGAAGGAGAGGAGTGAGCTCAGGAAGAGGAAGCTGCTGACTGAAGTGTGAGTGGGGCCACCAGAAGCTCACCTGCATGGCACTGTGGGGGCTGGTGGGAGGTAGTTGTCCTGTCCACATCGGGCCATAGGTTCCAATAGCCTTCTCTCAGCCCCCTTTTACACTGTGGTTGTCAAGCCTGTGTGCCAGCTTGTGCCACCACAGGGCCTTTGCCCATATAGCACCTGCCAAGAACTGTCTTCTCACCAATCTTCAAGGCAGGCTCTGCATCAAAGCTCCACTTAGGTATCACTTTAAAGAGTCTACTCTGATATCCTCCTCTCCCCTCAAGTTCCACAAGAACACCCCACTCCTAGTCTTCATCCCTTTGGCCTGCTCATTTCGTCCATAGGCCTTAGCACTACCTGAAGTTGAACCACTGGCCAGGCCCCTGGAATCTGGATAGACTGGTGGCTCTGCTCTCCCAGGACAGACATCCCCTATGAGCAGACACAGAGTTGCAGAGAGAACGCAGACTAGAGCCGGGCTGCCTGATTGAAGTCAGGGCTCTGCCACTTTGTAGCTGTGAGACCTTGACCAAATCACCTGGCCTGTCCTGGCCTCAGTTTCCTTATCTGTAAAATAGCCCTTTCTCGGCTTGGCACCCGTAACACAGTGGTTACGGCACCAGCCACATGAACCAAGGGTGGCGGGTTTGAACCCTACCCCGGCCAACTAAACAACTGCAACAAAAAAATAGCCAGGGGTTGCGCCTATGGCTCAGTGAGTGGGGCAATAGCCCCATATACTGAGAGTGGCGGGTTTGAACCTGGCCCTGGCCAAACTGCAACAACAACAACAAAAATAGCCAGGAGTTGTGGCAAGCACCTGTAGTCCCATGAGTTGGAGGTTGCTGTGAGCTGTGATAGCACAGCACTCTACTGAGAGCGACATAGTGAGACTGTCTCAAAAAACAAACAAAAAAAAATAGCTCTTTCTCATGGGGCTGTGGGGACACTTTAGTGGAACACAATAAATCTGATAGACTTTGCCTAAATTATTGCTCCTAGCTGTGTGCTTGGCACCTCAAAAAGATCGTGGCACACATTCTTTTCTTCATAAGTGCTTGTCGAATGAGTGAGTGAACACAGGGAGATAAGTGGTGGCTATCTGGGAGGATTTCAGGTGATGATAAATGTCTGGAAGAAAATGAAGCAGAATGACTTCGTGGGTAGCATTGGGATTCATATCAGAAGCAGATCAAGGAAAGCCTCTTGGAAGAGGTGACAGCAGCATCCCCTTCCCTCCTTTGGTTGCAGGACCCTGAAAACCTACTGGGTAAGCAAAGGTAGTGCCTTCAGCATCACCATCTCCAAGCAGGAGACAGAGCTGAGCCCAGAGATGATCTCCAGGTGACGGGTGGCCCCAGTGTGAGAAATAGGTCGGGGCATGGCAGGAGAGGGAGGCTGGCAGATCTCACCAGGCCCTTGCACCGCACATCCCCCCCCCCCCACAGCGGCTCCTGGCGAGACCGGCCCTTCAAGCCCTACAACTTCGAAGCACATGGTGTCCTCCCTGACAGTGGCCACCTGCACCCCCTGCTCAAGGTCCGCTCCCAATTTCGACAGATCTTCCTGGAGATGGGGTGAGCACCAGGCTGGGGGTGGGCAACTCAGCCACAGAGTACAGGCAGTGCAGTCAGGCCGCCTCTCCCACCAGGTTCACTGAGATGCCCACTGACAACTTCATCGAGAGCTCCTTCTGGAATTTTGATGCCCTCTTCCAGCCCCAGCAGCACCCAGCTCGAGATCAGCATGACACCTTCTTTCTTAGAGGTGAGTCAGCTCTGAGGGCCTGGCTGAGAGGACATGAGAGGCCCCGGGACTGGGTGGGGCTTTAGAGGAAGGGCGTCTCACTTGATAAAATTGAATACATCCTTGGTTTGGCCAACAAGGACTGAAGAGCTGGTTTATCATTCTCTGTGATCTCTTCCTTTCCCACCCCAAGTCTCTGCTCTTCTCTAGACATACCAGGTGGTGCCCACCTCAGGGCCTTTGCTCATGCTGTGTTTTTCACCAAGAACTATTTTCTTTTTTTTCTTTCTTTTTTTTTAGACAGAGTCTCAAGCTGTTGCCCTGGGTAGAGTGTAATGGTATCACAGCTCACAGCAACCTCAAACTTTTGGGTTGAAGCGATTCTCTTGCGTCAGCCTCCCAGGTAGCTACAACTACAGGCACCTGGCTATTTTTTTGTTGCCGTTGTCATTGTTGTTTAGCTGGCCTGGGCAGGATTCAAACCTGCCAGCCTTGGTATATGTGGCCAGTGCCCTACCCACTGAGCTACGGGCGCCACCCACCAAGAACTATTTTCTCAGGCTGGGCCAGGTGGCTCAGCCTATAATCCTAGCACTTTGGGAGGCTGGGGCGGGTGAATTGCCTGAGCTCACAGGTTCAAGACCAGCCTGAGCCAGAGCAAGACTCTGTCTCTAAAAATAGCCAGGCATTATGGTGGGTACTTGTAATCCTAGCTTCTCCGGAGGCTGAGGCAAGAGAATCACTTCAACCGAAGAGTTTGAGGTTACTGTGAGCTATGAGGCCATAGCACTCTATGGAGGGTGACAAAGTAAGACACTGTCTCAAAAAAAAAAAAAAAGAAGAACTGTTTTGAACTGTTTTCTCCAAGATCTTCAAGGCAGGCCATGCATCAAACCATTGCTCTGCTCCTTTGTCACCTCAGAGAAGCCACTCTGACATATTCCCTACATCCCCCCAAGTTCTACAAAAGCCTCTTACACATAGTCTTTTTGTTTTAGACAAGGTCACTGGGAGGCTATTATCATGCTAATCTTTTTTTTAGAGACAGTCTTACTTTGTCACCCTCAGTAGAGTGCTGTGACATCACAGCTCACAGCAACCTCCAGCTGTTGTGCTTAGGTGATTCTTTTACCTCAGCCTCCCAAGTAGCTGGGACTACAGGTGCCTGCCACAATGTCCAGTTTTGTTTTGTTTTTTTATAGAAACAGAGTTTTACTTTGTTGCTCTTGTTAGAGTGCCATGGCATCACATAGCTCACAGCAACCTTCAACTCCTGGGCTTAGGCAGTTCTCTTGCCTCAGCCTCCTGAGTAGCTGGGACTTCAGGCACCTGCCACAACGCCTGGCTATTTTTTTGTTGCAGTTTGGCTAGGGCCAGGCTTGAATACTCTACCCTTGGTATATGGCGCCTGCGTGCTACTCACTGAGCCACAGGTGTCACCCCTATTCTTTTGTTTTTTGAGACAAGAGTTTTACTGTGTTGCTCTCAGTAGAGTGCTATGGCGTCACAGCTCACAGCAACCTCCAACTCTTGCCTCAGCCTCCCAAGTAGCTGGGACTGTAGGTGCCTGCCACAATGCCCGGCTATTTTTTGTTGCAGCTGTTTAGTTGGCCCAGGCTGGGTTTGAACCTGCTACCCTCGGTGTATGTGGCTGGTGCTGTAAGCATTGTGCTATAGGCGCTGAGCCAACATCATGTTATTCTTGTCATTGTCATGGCCCCCAAAACTTACACACTAGTCACTGTTCATAATTTCCTACCAACTATAGAAAGTATTACTGTTAGACTCCTTTTGCATATGAGGCGATTTGAGGCACACAGAAAGGGAACATCCCTTGCCTTGGGTCACACAGTTTATAATTTGAAGGCAGGATTAGATCTCAGGCTCTTTAAGAGTACCAAAATCATGTCCCTAGATGTCTCTAGAAGGGGATCTGAAAAATCTGCACATCCATGCAACAAATTTTTTTATATTTTTTCTGCATCATAGCTCTCAGCAAACTCAAACTCTTGGGCCCAAGTGATCCTATCGCCTCAGCCTCCCAAGTACCGGGGGCTATAGGTGCCCGCTACAATGCCTGACTATTTTTAGAGATAGGGTCTTGCTCTTGCTCAGGTTGGTCTCTAACTCCTGAGCTCAGGCAATCCACCTGCCTCTGCCTCCCAGAGTGCTGGGATTACAGTTATGAGCCACTGTGCCTGGCTATGCAACAGATGTTCTCTGAGCCCCTCCTTTGTGCTAGGGTCTCTCTTAATACTTGAAGGTCACTCAGTTGAGAATAAGACAGAAGTTCCTGTGCCAAGGACACCTGCAATCTAGTGGGGGAGATGTGGGTTAAATGCTAAGCAGGCTATGTAATAGGACAGGTGGCAGTAAATGCAGTTGAGGGAACAACATGCATGTATGTGTGCACACACATGGCGGAGAGCAAGGGGTGGCAGTCAGTATACTTCTGTTGTAGTATACTTCTGTTGTTCTTATTCTTCTATGGTTCTTTACATTAATATATTTGCTTAAGCAAAAAGACCTGATAAGATAAGCCATACTTAGGAAAGTACCAAGAAAGAGGGAATAGCCAGTGCAAAGGTCCGTGCCCATTTACCTCACAGATAGCTGGAGGGAGCTATCAAGTAGAAGCAAAAGGATACCAAGACAGGGAGATGACCAGACAGAGCCTCAGGGAAGTCTTAGGCTTTTTCTGTGGGTGAGTGGGAACTGTAGAGGGCTCTAGGTAGAGGACGCATGCTGATTCAGGTGTCCCAGGTGCTCTGCAGCTGTGGTGGAAGCAAGGGTGGGATTTCTACATGTTTTTTCCATCTCCTATGCAGTGGCTTTTTGAGAAATACCCACTGACTGACCAGATGTCCCTCTGCCCTGTCTAGATCCAGCTGAAGCCCTGCAGCTTCCAATGGACTATGTCCAGCGGGTCAAGCGGACCCACTCTCAGGGTGGCTACGGTTCACAGGGGTGAGGCAGGCCAGGCCCTGGACTTTGAGGGTATGGAGGTGAAGGAAGTTGTGCTTCAGAGGGCAATCACATGCATGGACTTCCCACCTTTTCCCCTGAAGGTACAAGTACAACTGGAAGCTGGATGAGGCCCGGAAAAATCTGCTGCGCACGCACACCACAGCAGCCAGTGCCCGCACACTCTACCGCCTTGCTCAGAAGGTATGGCTGGGCCTAGACAGTGGCCAGGGTGGGAAGAAAGTGCTGTCTTAGGGACCTTCTGACCCATGCCCCGCCTTGGCTTGGCTGTCATCCCTAGAAACCCTTCACACCAGCCAAGTACTTCTCCATTGACCGTGTGTTCCGGAATGAGAACCTGGATGCTACACATCTGGCTGAATTTCACCAGATCGAGGGTGTTGTGGCTGACTACAGCCTCACCCTGGGCCACCTCATGGGTGTGTTACGAGAATTCTTTACCAAGCTGGGTGAGTGGGCAAGCCAGAGCAGACCAGGGTGGGTGGTGGTGGTGGTGCAGTGGGTGGATGTCTTGGTCACTAACCTTACCCTACTCCCCTGCTTCCCAACCCTGCCTTCTCCAGGTATCACCCAGCTGCGTTTTAAGCCAGCCTACAACCCATACACGGAGCCCAGCATGGAGGTGTTCAGCTACCACCAAGGTCAGGGTAGAACCTACTCCTGGGGTGGGAGAGTGGTCTCAGGCTGCCCAAAGCTTAGCTCAGCTTCCCCAACTCCCAACCTGACCACCTGGCCCAGAACCACCCCCATACATTGTCCTTGTCCTCCCCATCCTGCACCACAGGCCTAAAGAAGTGGGTAGAGGTTGGGAACTCTGGGGTCTTCCGCCCTGAGATGCTTCTGCCCATGGGACTTCCTGAGAATGTGTCAGTCATCGCCTGGGGCCTCTCGCTAGAGCGGTAAGTACCCAGGCAGGAACTCAGGGTATCTGGTTATCTCCAGGTTTAGGTAACTTCAGCACCATCCATCTGCTGTGGTCCCATTGGAGGAGGGTAACTAGCAACATAAATAAGTACATTCAACAAATAACAAACAAAAACAGTCTAGTACATGTCCAAAGGCAATAAATAAGAAGACTAGGTGGTCAGAGAAGGCCTCATGGAAGAGGTAGCAGTTGAGCAGAGATTAGAGGTAGATAAAGGGGTGAGACATCAGAGTATCTGGGGAAGGGTTATTCTAGGTAGAGGGCATGACCAGTGCAAAGGCCCTGAGGCAGGAACAAGCCTTATATATTTGGAAAAGAGCAAGGAGGCCAGTGTGGCTGGAGGGAGTAATTGAGGGGAGGGAGGTGACACAGCAGATGGTGCAGGACCTTGTGGGTCACTCGGAGAACTTTGGCATTTCCCCTGAGGAAGGTAGGACATGTGGAAAGCTGAGCAGGGAAAAGTGTAAACTCCCTCTCCCCAAAGCCCGACCATGATCAAATATGGCATTAACAACATCCGGGAGCTGGTGGGCCATAAAGTGAATCTACAGATGGTGTATGACAGTCCTCTATGCCGCCTGGATGCCGAGCCAAGACCTTCTCAGACACAGGTGGCTGCGTGACAGTGGGCCACCCTAGGATAGCCTCACCTCTTCACTCCCTGTGTTCCTGTTGCTAAGAACCTCTGCATCCCCAGCCAGTGGCCTTCTTGTATTTATGAGGCCTCTGTGAGGCCATCCCCTGCCTCCTCTTGGTGTCTGTTCTTCCCACCATCCCAGGGGCAGGATAGTGGTGGCAGGTTCCTTCTGATGTCCCGGGGGCTGTCTGCTGATGAGTATGAGTCATGGGGAGCCCTGTGGGCCAGCTGCTATCTAATAAAGTGGGCAGTTGTCCTTATCTGGTGCCTTTCCTTAAGGGTGAGGGGCCCATCAGGTCCCTCCAGCTCAACATGCTGCCTGATGGGAGGAAACATGGATGCAGGAACTCTGGGTACAAAGGGCAGTAAATTCCAGGTCTTGGATACTCAGAAATGGTGGCCATCATGAGCCAGATGACCTGGGAAAAATTAATTCCATCAAGTATTCACTGATCACCTGCTGGTGCCAGAAACCCTCCTCCCGCTACGAAGGGGACTTCTGGGAGGTGGAAGCCAAGGTGGTTGTTGGAACTTCCCAGGAACCAGGGTTCCCCATAACTGGTGGAAGCCTGGGTATGAGTGGGTGGGAGCTGCTTTGCTTCACAGTGTACCCTGGGTAGAGTGGCATGACATTGTAGTTCACAGCAAGCTCAAACTCTTGGGCTCAAGAGATCCCCTTTGCTTCAGCCTCCAGAGTATCTGGAACTGCAGGCAGCTGCCATAATACCCAGCTAGTTTTTCTATTTTTAGTAGAGATAGGGTCACGCTCTTGCACAGGCTGGTCTTAAACTCCTGAGTTCAAGCAGTCCACTTGCCTGGGGCTCCCAGAGTGGTTTTTTTCTTTTTCTTGGAGACAAAGTCTCACTCCATAGCCCAGGCTATAGTGCAGTGGCATCATCCTACCTTACTGCAACCTCAAAGTCCTGGGCTCAAGTGATTGATTCTCTTGCCTCAGCCTCCCAAGTAGCTTGGGCTACTTTTTTTTTTTTTTTTTTTTTTGAGACAGTCTCTCTTTTTTGCCTTGGATAGAATACAGTGGCATCATCATAGCTCACTGCAACCTCAACACCCTCAAACTCCTAGGTTCAAGCCATCTTCCTCCCTCAGCCTCCCAAGTAGCTGGGGACTTAGAGACATGCACCACACTACCCGGTTAATTTTTCTATTTTTAGTAGAGACAGGATCTCACTTTGCTCAGACTAGTCTTGAACTCCTAAGTTCAAGCAGTCCTCTCACATATGGGCCTAGCCTTCTTTCTCTTTTTTTTTTTTTTTTTTGCCATTTTTGGCCAGGAACAGGTTTGAACCTGCCACTTCTGGTATATGGGACTAGCGCCCTACTCCTTTGAGCCACAGGTGCTGCCTTTTGGTTTTGGGTTTGTTTTTTTTTTATGCAAATGGGAGTCTTCCTACATTGCCCAGTCTGGTCTTGAATTCCTGGCCTCAAGCAGTCCTTCCACCTTGGCCTCCCAAAGTGCTAGAATTAAAGGCATGAGCCACTGCACCCAGCCATGTTCTTTAAAAAAAAAAAAATTCCCCTATGAGTGAAAATGAGTCTGGAGTAGACAGATAAACAGCATAAACCTCTGCCAGGCTGTGACTTATGTTGAACAGTGAGCAGGATTGGTATCTGAGCTTCAACTCTGATATATTAAATAGTCTGTTCTGGTTACAGTGAGAAAGTCTCTTAAATTGGGTAATTTTTTTTTTTTGAGACAGAGTCTCACTTTATCCCGTTGGTAGAATCCTGTGGTGTCACAGCTCACAGCAGCCTCCAACTCCTGGGCTCAAGCAAGTCTCCTGCCTCAGCCTCCCAAGTAGCTGGGACTACAGGTGCCCGCCACAACGCCTGGCTGTTTTTTTGGTTGCAGCCATCATTGTTGTTCGGCGGGGCCAGGCTGGATTTGAACCTGCCACCTTAGGTGCATGTGGCTGGCACTTAGCCACTTGAGCCACAGGCGCTGAGCCCAGACTTCGTAATTTTTAAACAACAAATTCACTACTCACAATTCTGGAGGCTGGGAAGTCCCAGCTGCTGTGCCAGCAGATTCAGTATCCAATGGGGCCTCACTACTTATAGACATTGCCTTGCATATGTCTTCATATGGCAGCAGTGTAAAAGGGGCAGACACACCCCCTCAGGACTCTTATAAAGGTATTAATCCCATTCATGAGGGCTCTTCCTGCATGACTTAACTTGCC